AAGAAGGCTTCGTTGCGAAGTTCGGCATGGGACGAGGCACCCAGGCCTTCCAGGAGGACGAGGCCGCTCGCGCGAGCAAGTCCAAGGGGGTCGCGCGCATGATGGTCGCCCCCCCGAAGGCCCACCAGCCGAGGATGGTGCCGCCGACGGTCGAGCTTCCGACTAGCAAGGCGCGCCCGACGCCCAAGATGACGCCGTTCGCCCCCGTGCCGATCGCGCGCCCCGCGGCCAAGGGCAAGGGCAAGGAGGCTGTCTCCAGCAAGGGCACAGCTGGCAAGCACGGCAAGGGCGCCAACGAGGACACGGACAGAGACAAGGGCGTTCGCAAGGGCACGGCCGTCAAGAGCAAGGGCGGCCACAAGGGCGCGGACAAGGGCAAGGACGCGCGCGCGGGCAAGAACGTCCTCCAGCCCACGTCCAAGCGCCCCGCGCCTCGGACGCCGTCGCCGCATCGCAGGCCTAAGCGGCGGGCGACCAATCCACAGGACGCCAGCGGGCGCGGGCCGTTGTCCTTCCTGTGACGCGCACTGTTGTTCTTGGAAAAAATGCTTGTACTCCCTCGGCGGCTCATCCGCCATGGCGGTTCACCCGCCTGTGTGTGCACGAGTGTCACTGCGCGCGCGTCATACTTGTGATTCCTCGGCGGCTCACCCGCCATGGCGGTTTACCCGCCTGTGTGTTCGCCACGCACATGCCGTCGCACCGCTTTTTTCTGTATAGGCGTCTTGGCTCGAACGCGAACCGCGCGCGGGCCGCCCGTCGCCGCCAGCTTCCGCATCCATGTCGGACGCTGCGTCCTCCTCCGCTGATGTGCAGCCAGCCGCGCACGCTGACGATGCATGCCCGACGTGGGTTCTGCGGGGTGGGAAGCGCCCCTTTGGCTCGCAGTGCAGCAAGCGCTCGGCGACCATCAAGACGTGCCACTCGCACGAGGATGCCGTGGAGCCGGTCGCCCATCACTTGGTGACGTCGCCTTACCACGAGCTCGAGCGCTCCGAGGCTGAGTCGGCCGTCGACTACAACTTGATCGAGTCCTGGGAGGTCGACAAGAAGAAGTGGGCAGACGACCAGGTCAGATGGGAGAAGAAGCAGCGCAAGAGCTTGCCGTGGCAGCCCACCTCGGAGCCCGCCAGCAGCGCGCCGCCGACGGGTGCTGGCACGGGTCGCATCACGCTCTCGGAGATGCAGGTGAGGGCATGCGTCGACTCGCTGAAGCGCGCCGAGGTCTCGGCGGAGAGCGCGGCGAACCTCTGCGCCAAAGCGGCTCGGGCGTTCAACGAGGAGGTCACGTGCATCCAGCAGTGCGTCGAGGTGATCGAGTCGTACGTTCAGCCGACGCGCGTGCTCCCCCTGCGCTAGCCGAGAGGTTGCTGGCGGAGCTCTGAGGTTTTGGCCACGCGCGTCGGCGCCTCGCTTAGCACGCCCCCGTCGGGTGCTCATTCGCGGGCTTGGACGCCGAACCTTTGCTGGGAACACCAGCACACCTTCCTCGTCGGTGCGCTCATCATCTTGGATCATTGTCACGAGCGGTTCACTCGCTGATCGGCGTATCATCCGCCAAGGGAAGGGCATCGGCGGATCAGCCGCCACACAGCGGATCATCCGCTACTCAACGACGTGACCGATAACGACCGAGAGCGTTTCGATAACGATGTTATCGGATCGCCCGATAACAACCGGTAACGCCGATAACGCTTTGTTATCGGCAACGAAACCACAGCCGATAACATCAAAATAACAGCCGATAGCGTCCGATAACGTCCGATAACGTCCGATAACGGTTATCGGAGCCGAAATTGCCTCCGATAACGTTGTTATCGGATGTTATCGGCGAACGCTATCGGATGTTATCGCATGTTAGCGCAACATCCGGTAACTGTTATCTGTATGTCGGTTGTCATCGGATGTTATCGGATGTTATCGGTATGTTATCGGGTTTATCGGATGTCATCGGTCGTCATCGCCCTCCTCCGCGGTTTCAGATATTTTGCCACCCGCCATCCTGGACATCGACCCTCGCCCGCCCTGAAGCTCAAACCGAGCGTGCGAATGGAATCGAAACAAATCCTCCTTTTCCTCGGGCAAACTGAGCGTGGTACTCCGTTTATCTTAACCCCCCCCTCGTCTCGATAGAAGCCGTTCTGCTATCACGAAACGCGACTCGATAGGAACCGTTCTTCTCCTCTCTCCGCGCCTTCGCGTACCTCCAGGGGAAAACATTTGCACAGATCGTATTCTGGGCCAGTTTTTTTTTTTTCTCTCCACGTACGGCATCCTCCTCTCCTCCATCCGCAGCCTTTGTGATTGCAGGGCAACGCGCGCGGGCTTCTGCACCCCCGTGCCCCATCTCGTCTCTCGCGGCGCCGATGTCGCTGCAGTTGGCGTTGATGCCACCACCTGCCGCGGCGCCCGAAGAGCAAGACGGCCACCGTCGAGATGGCGAATGACGCAACAGTTGCGTGGTGGACAAAGTTCAAGTCGCCTGGGTCGGTTGCCTCTGGCTCGGAGGCTGCCGATAGCCTGACGGCGACGACGTTGGCGCTCGCAGCTCCTGAGGTGGCCGACTTGGGAGACTTCGAGAATGCGTCCGAAGGCGACGATGTTGCCTCGTCGGGGGCCGCTGCCTCGTCCGAACCGCTTGCCGTCGAAGACGCCGCCTGCGCGCCGACTCCGACTCAGGAGGTGGCAGACAAGGCTTCCTCTCCGGTGCTCAAGCCGCCTCCGACTCCAGGCGAGGTCTTCGTCTGGCAAGGTCCTGAGGTCAAGCGCGAGCCGTCAAACCCAACGTGCTACAGGTGCAAGCAAGAGGTCGATGTCTTGAGGGCACCATTGATTGGGAAATGCCAGGGCTCGTGGAAGTGCGAAAAGTGCAACGCGCGCGGAACGCAGTTGTCCCGCTTGTTCGGATCGTGGCCACCTGCCAGCTTCAGGAGGCTTGACTCCTCATTGCAAGCGAAGTTCTGGCAAGACGCAAAGGAGAAGGCTGGTAAGGATCAGCTCGAGGAGCTGTTCGTCCAGACTCTCACGACGACTCGGATCGAGCAGGAGGTTGCCCAAGTGGGCGGGGAATATCTGCCGTTGTCAGTTTACGCCCAGCGCGGGTTCGATGTTAAACGCATCGAGAAGGAGTGCAAGGACACCGAGGAACACAAGATCCTCGGAACTTGCTACCGCGTGGACAGCAGGGGTGGCTACTCGAAAACGATCGAGCAGCTCGCCCGCGCCGAGGTGCAGGAGCTGAAAGCGAAGGCGAAGGCGCCGCCTCCGACGCAGCCGACGCAGCCAGCTCCAGGCAAGAGCGAATCAGATGATTCGGATAGCGGCTCGAGCAAGACGAGCAGCAAGAAGGGGAATAAGTCGAAGAAACAGAAGAAATCCAAGAAGCAGTCCAAGAAATCCAAGAAGGCCGATAAGAAGGACAAGCGCGACAAGAAGGACAAGAAGTCCAAGAAGCGCGCAGCGTCCTCGACCTCGGATTCGGATTCGGACTCGAAGTCTGAGAATGACAAGGGCCTGCAGGCGAAACAGAGGAAGCTCGAGCAAGAGAAAGCCAAACATGCCAAGAAGAACGTTGCCCTGGCGACCCGCGTCTTGTGCAAGATCGAGAGGCCCAGGATCTCTCTTGATCGCGACCTCAAGGATCCGATGTCGAAGCACGTGCCGAAGTACGGCATCGATCCAGCCAAGAAGAAGCTCAAGGAGCTTGAGAAGCTTTACTCTGAGTTCAGAAAGGTCCACGACGAGCGCGGCATGGGGGGTGAGGTGACGACAACGGTGGCTGAAGTGAATGACCTTGTGAAGACTTCGATCGAAGCTGCCGCGCTCCTTTCCAAGCTGCTGAGCACTGCGGAGAGCAACGTTCCGAGCGGGGACGATGTGTAGGCTCTCTCCGTCTGCGTCTGCTGTGACCGCCCGTCTTCTCACTGCCCGTCTGAGTCTCTGCGGGGACGATGTGTTAGGTCGGCGCTGCAGTCGCGCGGGAGGCATCGTGCATGCTTCCAGCCAGCTTTGGCTTCAGGCCCGCCCTGCCGACGAGGGGCTGACATCGCCCAGCGCTCGGTTAGCCCTGCAGTTTGCCATGACGTGGGTAGTGCCGCGGATGGCGCCCGACCGCGCGAGCCCCGACTGCACCTGCTAGTCTCAGGGGGCACGCCGCGATCACGGGGTAGCGCTCAGTTTGCAGCACCGCTCGGGGTTAACTCGCACCAACTTCAATGGACGGTTGTGAACAGTGGGAAACCGACCCCAGCCCCCACAACAATGGATTTTAGATGTCAACGTTTAACAAGTATGGCGAATGTGCGTAGGTGTAGGCGTCTTGTAAGGGAGGCCATTGCCAGCTGCCGCAGGGGGGGGGGCCCGCGCCCGCGGTCTAGTTGGTCTAAAGTTCCTCATGTGGGGGGCGGGGGTCGGTTTTCATGCGTTCAGGTTGCTCGTGAAAAATCCATCGATCAAAAACAAGCGGTTCAACCGCTCGGCGGATCATCCGCCAGTTATTTTCTTCATCTTCTCAAGCTCAGCCGCGGCTCAACCGCTGAAAAATCCAGCAATCAAAAAAAAAGCGGATCAACCGCTCGGCGGGTCATCCGCCAGTCATTTTCTTCATCTTCTCAAGCTCAGCAGCGGTTCAACCGCTGAGCGGGTCATCCGCTCGTCGTTCATTCCTCCTGCTCGTCGGCCATTCCTTCCTCTCATCCTCCGTACTTCCATTCCTCCTCCTCCTCCTCTTCCTCCTCCTTCCTTGCGTTCCCCGTGCTTCCATTTCACGCCTCCTCCCACTCCTCTCCCTCCTCCTCCTCTCCCTCCTCCTACGCCTCACCCCCTTTCACCCATCCCTTCCCCTCGCTCCCCCCATCATCCTTCTCCTGCTGCTTGTGCTGATGTAAGTTCAGCATCTCCGCCCCATCGTTCTTTCCGCAGCCATTTCAGCATCGGGCGATCGGCGCCCTGTCCCGCCTCCCGCCCCTCCACCGCTGCCTCCCCGATCGCCTCTGTCGGCCATGGAGCCGCTCGCGAAACGGCAGAGGCTCCTCGATATGTTGAGCAGGCGGAACTTCAGCGATAGCGACGGCGTGGCGGCGCTTGCCGCGCTGGGGAGAGATGAAGCGGCGTCTCGGCGAGATGCGCGGGAGTGCGTGGATACGTTCACTGCGGACTTTTTTGTTCAGCCGACGCTGCAAAGGCAGGGCGGCGACGCCTTTGACTGGACCATCGCCAAGTATCAACTTCTCCCCCCGAGGTGTCTTGCCCAGTGCGCGGGTTTCAGAGAGGAGTTCGAGAATGCAGTGGCGAGGTCACCGAATAGTTTCGACAGGCCGTGGCGCCTGGCGCTCTACATAGATGACGCGGTGCCTGGCGATGCTTTGAGGTTGAACAACAAGCGAAATACCACGTGCTGGTATATCGGCACACTTGAGATGTGACGCTATCTGCGACGCGAAGAGGCATGGCTGCCCGTTGGCGTGCTGCGCGCCACCATCGCTAAAGATCTGCAGGGGGGGTTCCCAGCTGCGGCCAAGGCGCTCCTGCGTTCGCTCCTGCTCGGCTCCGACAGCGTCGCCGTGGCAGGCGCCAGCGTGCCGCGCGGTGGCCAATCGCGGATTATGTATTTCAAATTTCAGCGGTTGATCGGTGACGAAGTTGCGACGAAAGCGTTCTTCGACGCGAAAGGCTTTGGCGGCATTAGGTGTTGTTCCATATCATGCAAGAACGTAGTGAAGCTGAACAAAGATGGCGTGACTGATTCGCTGGTCGATCATCAGACTGGCACGTACCTGGTCGACGTTTCGTGCTCTGATCCTTCGCAGTTCGACCCGGTGTCAGACGAGGACGTCTGGCGCACGCACGATATTCTGGATGCCGTGTGCAGGCGTGGGGGTGCGTTGAAAACGGCACAGACAACGATGGGATTTTCTTTGAACGAACACGGCGTTCTGGCCGACAAGGGTCTTCGCCCACACGTGCTTCCACATTCTTGCTTGTTGCGCGATTGCATGCGCGTGTACCTGGCAGGCGGCATCGCGAATATCGAGATTGGCTTGCTTTTTAATGGCGTTGCTGAGTGTACTCCTGGGTTTTCCTTCCGTTTGCTGAAGACGTTCGCCGAGGCCGACTGGCATTGGAACCCTGGAGGGTTGACCAGGAGCGAGTTCGCTGACATATTCAACGGGTCTCGGGAGAAGGCGTGGAAATCAGGCGGTGTCTTTCGCGCGGGGGCCCCTGAACTATTGTCTGCATACCCATTCATCAGATACTTTGTTGTTGAACACGTTCCCGCGCACAAGGTGCAGTTGGAGCGCCAGAGCTACCTCCGTCTCTGTGACGTTCTGGACAGCATCAACGAGGCAAAGCACTATTCCACGCCCGTTGCTATGAAAGATATCATGCGGCGTGCAGTTGGCCGTTTCCTTGACGCGCATAAGGCCGCGTGCCGCCTCGACGCCATCGTCCCAAAACATCATTATCAGTGGCACGCTGTGTCAGACCAAGAGGACGACATATTTCTTGATTGCTTTGTGTACGAAAGGAAGAACAAGATCGCGAAGCAATCAATGACTCACATCGCGAACGCGGCAGCATTCGAGAAAAGCTCGGTCCAACAGCTTCTCGTCAAGGTGTTCCCAGCGATGGGCAAAGTCAGGATGACCGAATTGTGCGAGCCCGTGGCGGTGAGCCAGCCGTTGTCCGACAAATTTGGCCAGGTTTACGTCGTGTCCAAACAGATGAGGTGGCGGGGCTTGCTGCTCAGAGTTGGCAGCGTGGTTTTCATTCAGAACGCGGCGGTCGAGGTTCAAGTGTGCTTGTCCGCAGGTGGCGTTCTAGCGCTTATCGTGGGAAAGCTTGCGCTGGTGCGTCGTGAGCCGCTCGGTGGGTACTCTATCTGGACTGGAGCGGGACAGTCGGAGCTCCTGGTGCCCGAGGGTGCGCGCAAGGCGACTGGATGGTTCCTCAAGAGCGACAACACGCTGGCGGTGATTCACTGAGCTCGGAGAGAATCATTTGGATAAAAAAGCGGATCAGCCGCTGTAGCGGATTACCCGCTCATCCGCCCCTCCTCAAAAAAAAAAAAAAAAAAAAAAAAAAAAAAACACGACCGCTAGCGGATAAGCCGCCACATGCGTCGCGTTCCCCCCCTCCTTCCATGTCTTCCTCCGCCGCCTGCCTCTCCGTTCGCTTCTCCTTTTTAATTTTCTGTGCCGCGATTTTTTTTTTTTTTGTTTGTCTTCGTCTTTTTTTTTAGCCCGTTCAGCTGGCCCTTCTTAGGTTAGTTAACTTAGTTGACTTAATTGAATCACTTATTTCTTGGATATGTTGCATGTTATGTCGAATACATATCCCTAGGTTATGTCTTATTTGTTCTATCCGCAGATGTTATGGACATGTCAACACCTATAACGTATTATATTGATACTGCAAACATGTCCAGACATATAACTAGGGATCGTGTTGCTTATAACTAGGGATATCGCAAGTTTTAAATCGTACAAGCTACAACAACTCTGTCGGCCATCCAAATGGGCTCCTCTGGGCACCGCGCCGGGGGCCGGTTTTGTGAGGATGTCTCAAGCGAGGGCGCCGGTTTGGGATTCGTCGGCGGATCCACCGGATCCACCGGATATGTCCGGAAACGGTGCCGGAGGCCGCTCTGGGCTCCTCTGGGCACCTCCCCCGGGGCCGGTTTTGTGAGGATGTCTCAAGCGAGGGCGCCGGTTTGGGATTCGTCGGCGGATCCACGGATCCACCGGATCCAGCGGATCTGTCCGGAAACGGTGCCGGAGGCCGCTCTGGGCTCCTCTGGGCACCTCCCCCGGGGCCGGTTTTGTGAGGATGTCTCAAGCGTGGGCGCCGGTTTGGGATTCGTCGGCGGATCCAGCGGATCTGTCCGGAAACGGTGCCGGAGGCCGCTCTGGGCTCCTCTGGGCACCGCGCCGGGGGTGAGGATGACGGTAGTTCCACAGAAACTCCTTCAAATTATTGGACAGGGTCTCGGTGATTGCCCCAAGTTTGGAGCGACAGATTTTTGCTTCGTTCCCCTCTGGATCAAACGTTCATTCTGGCAGGGCCGTGGCTACTATAGATGAGCATTTATTTGTCAATGCAGCCAAGCACCATGGTTTTGAGGTGCCCCGGTTGATATCCAGCTATTCTCTTCCTGAGTTCCGCCATGAGCAACGTGGCAGACGTATAGTGCAAAAGGCAAAGAACGACGCAGTGGTTGAGAAGATTGTTTCATCTCGATACCGCCTTTTCCCTAGCGGTGTTCGTGCGAATGTGCCGATTGCCCTTGAAAGTAAAACGATTTATGTGAAAGTTTCCAATGGTCCGATCCCCCCACTGCCCGTTGGTGCTTGCAGTGGAACGGCGCTTGACATGCATCTTGAACGTTGTGCCAGACTGTTCCGACCACAAAACGCTATCCACTTGAATTCGATAATGCCGCCCGTTTCGAAACCAGCCGGGCTTCTGAGCATTGGTGGTACTCATACGGAGCTCCGTGCCGATGACCGTGCTGGATCTGTGCTCCGTGAATTGGCGCCGAAGCCGATGAAGCAGTTCAGGGAGAGCGAGGACCTTTCTGATACTTTGGCCTGTGCGATTGATATTAAACAGGACGAAGCTAACCACACGTCTGTGAACACGTACGTGAAGACTCCTCATTCGTTGTGCTGCTCGCTCGGAGCACAGACACATGTGTTCCTGGCTTTCTAGTGTGATTGCCCGCTGTGTCGCGAGATCTTGGATTCGATTGACTGCGCAAGTGATTCGACACATGCATGCCGATTTGATTGCAAGTTGCCCTGTCGCATCGACCCACATACTGCATTAGCGCATTAGCACACATATCGAAATAGCAGCCAAGAGAACTCGGCGCGTGAAGGGGCTGCGCTACCAACAAAATACGCAGCGTTTGGTGCCTTCGGTGCAAGGAAGCGCTGCGTAAGTTTGGTCTGTCTGGTTACTTCGGCGTGGAGAACAAGACACACTGCGTATGTCTGTGTTTTCCCACCCGACAGGATGGGGTTGGTAGATTTCACGCCCGGCCAACCCCACCTTGCATTTCGCGGCCGCCAGACCCCGAGTTGTCCCGATGACCCCCGACTCCCAGGTGTCCCGCTTCGCGCCCGGTCAACCCCACCTTGCATACCGCGGCCGCCAGACCACAAGTTGTTCCGATGATCCCCGAGAATCCCGGGTGTCCCGCCTCGCGCCCGGCTAACCCCACTTTGCATACCGCGGCCGCCAGACCCTAAGTTGTGTTGATGATCCCCGAGAGTCCTGGGTATCCCGCTTCGCGCCCGGCCAAAAGTTGTCCCGATGATACCCGAGAGTGTTGGGTGTCCCGCCTCGCGCCTTCGACAAACACGACCGAACATAACATGACAGAACAGGAAATGATGACATATCAGGAAACGGCAGAACGGAACAGAGCATGACAGGACATAAGATAACAGGACATATAAAGGCCATGACAAAATATAGCATAATATAACACCGCAACACAACACACCAGAGCCGATCATGACATAGCCAAAGACGACATACTACACCATAACATAACCGAACATAACTTAGCACGCTTTGACCGAACACATGGTTTCATGATCAATAGTCATATCATATCATAACACGACCTCACATTATATACATACTCGCCATAACATATCATGTCACATTACATATCGTATCATAGCATATCATATCATTTCATATCAGAACATAGTATACAATGCCGAGCCGTCAACCAACATAACATACCATATCATATCATGGGGGAACATAAGACGACAGGAAGCACCAGCAGCAGATCATGACATAACCGATCATGACATAACACACCGTGGCCTACCATGCCAGAGCACATCATGGCAACATCACATAACATATTATATATTACGGCAGCAAAACACCGCGACATGTATTCGCAGAGCTTGTCACCATATAGTATACCGAGCAGAGTAGACAACACAACTACGTAACATGTCATATTAGGTCGTAGTTTGACATATCATACCATGTCGTACTATAGTGCCACGGAGCAGGTCATACCATGACATTGCAACTCATACGGTGGCAGAAATGATAACAACACAACACATTCAATCACAAGAGCCTGCTGCCACCCCTTCTGCTCCGCCCGCGCTGGCGGAGACCCGAAGTACGAGCCTGACTCCGACGAACAAGAGGAGGACGGCCGGGGGTTTTAGCTTGCAGCGGGCAGGTGGCAGCCCTTCGGAGTCGGGGCCCCGTGCGCCCGGCTTGTGCGAAGGGGGTAGCGTTCTGATCTTCTCGTGGCGCGCAAGCCATCCATCCATGGAAGGTTGTTGTGCTGTTTTTGCTTCCGGGGGTTTCCCCCTCTCAGATATCCGACGATGTTTTTTTGTTTTGTTATTCCAGGCATTTTCTTTCGACTTCGGTCTTTGTAGGGCTGGTCATCGGGCCCCAGGACCATCAAACATGGGTCTTGGACGAAAACACACCATGGGAAACGGTCGGGACTTCTGGGGCCACGGACTGGGTTAGTGGATTCCCGGGGCGCCGGGGCCATGGAACAAATTGCTCGGGACGAGACTTCTCGGGGCGCACACCACGGCCAGCGGCGATTGATTTGTCACGCGCACGGCGCGGGGGGATATCAGCGCCGTCCGGATTTTCATGTTCTTGCCTTTTGTCGGGGTTTGCTTGGGGCGGCCCTCGCAGCTGTGGCTGGACGCAGCCTGCAAAACTGAGAGTTGGCCGGGGTGGATCTCGCGAGAACGGGTTTGGGGCGAAATTTTTGCAGGTCGCCCGTTGGGGCGCGACGATGACCGCGCCTGCCGCCTCGCGGCCTTGACCAGAGAGGTATTGTTATCCCTGGGAGCCGCGCTGGCAGTCGCGTTTCGGGCTGCGCGGCTCGCAAAGCTAAGGCTGCCCAGACATGGCCCATCTCAGCCCATCTCGATCCGATCGATTCGATGGCGATGACGACCGGCCCGATCCGATCCGACTCCAGTACTCCACGATTCGATGCGGCCGGATGCTTGCATGGCGCTGTCGCGCATCCTGGCGCGGCCGACTCTGTTCGCATTTCGACTCCAGCTGCAGCTGGTCCCGACGCACATCTCCATTCGATCCGATTCCTGCCCAGATCTCCAGACAGCCGCGCGTGCGAGGCGGGCGACCTGGCCCACTCGGTGGCTTTCCTCGTGAGGCGCCACCGATCCCCAGGGGAGCCCCGAAGCCCGCCAGATCGGCGCCTCGGAGCCGTCGGGGGCTTCGCGGCGCGCGAGGCTCAGGTGGTTCGAGGACTGCAGCCATGACGCTGAAGCAGGGACCACCTGGGGCGCAGGAGGGCTCTGATTTTCGGGCCCTTCCTCGGATCCAGGTGTGGGAGCCAGTTCGTGGCCGAGGCTCGCCGTGGCCAGAAAAGCCCCTTCCTTCCACATTCAGCGTTCATTGTGGTAGCATGATGGCTGCAAGGTTGGGGGGATGCCTTGGTTGGGGCCAAGACATCTCGTAGATGTCATAGCCCCCTCTGCTTCTTTCAGCACACATCCGCTGCCCCCCCCCCCTCGCAGCGCGCATATGCTCGGTCCATGCCCCCCCCCCCCCCCCGCACCGTACCCTTCCTGGCCTCCCTTTTCGGCGCCCCTGGGCAAATCCGAGTGACCCATGGCAGGAATCTAGACATGCGACGACGTGTTTTTTTCCATGCGCGGCCCCAGGGGTTCCGACCCCTTCCCCAGGGGTGGTTTTCGTCCTGGATCAATGTGATGGTCCTGGGGCCCAATGACAGGTCCCAGGGGCCGAGGTCGAAGAGAAAACGCCCAGATTGAGAAAAACACATTGTCGGAGATGTGGGAATGGGGCATTCAGGGGGGGCATCGCTGGACACCGGGCGGACATCGCCGGCCGGCTCGTCACCGCCGGCTCGAGGCGGCAGAGTGCGATTTTCGGCAACCACCACAGACGCTCCACCCTCTCCGCGCCGAGGTGGCGCACCCAT